AAGCAGTGTTCCGGGCACTAGAGAAACACGGGTGAGCAAGGTAAGGATGGGTGGGCTTCCAGGCCAGCAGCCAGCAGCCAGCAGTCCACAAGGAATAACCGTAAGTGGGAAGAAAACACGGGAGCTGTGCAGTTAGGCAGCCGGGGTCCTAAGCCGGGCTGGAGGGCATATGGAAAGTCTCTGCAAGACGGACGTCCCACTGGCACAAGAGAGCCTGCACCCTGAGCATGCTACATTGTGTGTGTACGTGTATGCACGTGTGTGTACATATGTGCATATGCACCCATGTGTATGGTGTGTGATCCTCTATGTTTGTGCGCATGTGCACAGTGTGCATGTGTGTGACAGGCAGGGCACAGGGGTCCTGCTGCAGACAGACAGTGGGACCAGCTGGGAGCAGTCTACCGTAAGCACAAGGCACTGGTTTCTCACAGTATCACCCACGGCCAGAGAAGGGGAGGAGGAGGGGGTTGGCAGCCCTAGAGACGCCTGGTTCTGCCGAACGAACGGATCTGAGACCAGGCAGAGGCGGAGGGCGCAGTGGCGGAGAGGGGCAGCGTGAGGCTTTTGCTAGAAGCAGGAGGTGGAAAAGCCACAGACCGAGCACCAGTTAAGGTCCCGGCAGTGTTGAAAGCTGGATGCCTGGCCCTGGTTGGGGCACATGGGGGAGGCAACCAATCGATGTGTCTTTCTCGCATCAATGTTTCTCTCTCTACCTCTATCTCTTCACCTCCTTTCTACTCTCTCTAATAAAAAAAAAAATAAAAAAAAAAGAACAAAAAAAATCAATAGAAAAATATCCATGGGTGAGGATTAACAAAACAACAACAACAACAAAAGAATGAGGGTCACGCCTGACCTGGCCTGGTCCTGCCTCTCCCACTCATCGCTCACCTCGCCCTTCTTTGCACACCCACTTGCAGCATTTCTGCAGTTCGGTGACTACCCCAGCTCGGCTGCCCCTTCGGTGCACTCCTCCGAGCCCCCGGCAACGAGTGTGGCAAGTCTCTCTCTTCCTGTGACCATACCTTCCTCATCTCTGTGCCTGAACATACCAGGGACTCAGAAACTGTCTGCGGAATCACAGGAATGAAATGAACAGAGGCCGCATGAAGACACACGTCCCTTCAGCCACATGGAGCTTTCCTTTGCTTAAAGGGACAGAAGCGTGCACCGTCCGCACCTTAGCTGCTGTGCCCCTCTTCCCTGAAGCAGCTCAGAGACCTCGTGCTAAAGGGAGCAGCCAGCCGTCCTGGGGTTCCATCACCACCTCCTGGTCGGGCGAGTGAGACACGTGAGCAAGTCACCTGAAGGTTTAGCCTGGAACACGTCCAGGGGCCAAGGAGGATGGCAAGCAATGCTCGTGTGTGTGTGTGTGTGTGTGTGTGTGTGTGTGTGTGTGTGTGTGCGAGAAAGAGAGACAGAGAGAGAGAGAGAGATTTATCCATTATCTGTTCTCTCACAGTGTCAGGCTGACAAGCATGGAAGTGCAAAACTCCAAATATCATGAAAGCAGAGTCAAGGTTCCCACCTTCCTCAGCTTAAAGGAAACACCGATGACGTGAGTAGCATCGGACCAGTGACCCGGCCAAAAATCCAGGAAGAAGCGGTGCTCCCAGATGACCACTCCTCAATACGTTCATCCCGCAAGGCAGCAGCCTCTGCAGGCCGCCAAAGCTTACGGATGTTTAGATGGGCAAGGCCCCCTTTTCAACCCTGCATTCTTTCCGATCTTCCCCAGAGGACGCTAACCGGGCTGCTTGAAATCTGACGCTTCGGAGATATTTTCTCACTAAACAATGCCCTTCCTCTGAAACTGGCCATTCTGTTAGAAAATACTCTAGAAATATTTGGGATAACATCCTTCATCAGCTTGAGGTCTGTTCCTCACCCCCTCCCCCATAACTCCC